TCAATCCAGAATAATCAATAATGATCTGCTGCGGACAGAGAGGATCGAGCGACAGTTATAATCCAGAGAGTCTCCGGAAATGCCCGTTGGCCCGAGGAGAGCCGTTCATCGGATGTTGCTGAGGTGAAGCCGGAGAGTGCCCCGCCATGCGTCATCGAATGGCTACCCATCGGCAGTAAGGTATTTTTCCAGCAATCGTAGGGAGGATGTGGTTAGGACGATCGAGCAGTAGTATTATTGCGGAGTAGTATTATTTCGGAGTCTCGAATCTTCTAAGCGGTTCCTCATATTAAACAGTACTAGGCAATGCGCCAATCCTGTGTACATCGCTCTGCTCCGTGTTTTGTTCGTCGGCGGGGACCCAAGCTATTCATCCTGCTTCGCCCCGTTTCAGACTTCTGCCGCGTTTACAATCCGGTTAGCTGTCCTGCCAATCCAGTTTGAGAGAATAAACAACAGATCAAACAAATTTTTTGGATGTATATGACTGGATGTACAGTACAGACTCTACAAAAACACACCCAGGCACGCACAAATTCTATCCCTCCAACCCCGCGAGGCCCGGATCGGGCCTGTCCATCTCGTAGAACAACAGATACACCTCGCGCTGCATGCCCAGCACGTCGGAGGTCTTGCACTCTTTGATCTTCTCGTCGGAAATGCGCCACCAGCGGTCATTCGGCTTGCGGCGCCGGCGCAGTCGCGAACCAACCCCCGTAAGCGTGTCTGGGGATGATCGGGAGATCGTGCGGGCAGTAGACGGGCGCGGGGAGTTGCTCCAGCGGCCGCGGTCGGTTGTGGGACTGTTGTTGTCAGAGGTGGGCGACACGGTTTGCTGCGACGCGGAGGAGCGGGAGTGCGTGCTCTGGAAGGACCGGCGCGAGCTCGCCGTGGTGGGTCGCGGCAATGGAGGGGTTAGCTGCGTGGACGGAATGGAGGCGCCCGACAATGAGGTCGACGAGGTTGCGGTTGAGATGCTGCTGCCGCCCTCCTCACCACCGCCGCCGCCTGCCAGGTCGACGTCAGGGGTGCTGCGCGGTGCAAGCCGTGGACTGGGTGCCTCCGAAGGGTTCGCGCTCGCCACGCGGCTCTGTGCGTACGAGCTGAACGCCTCCGGGGTGGAGAAGGGCGCGTACAGGTGATTGCGCCGGAAGGACTCGTAGTGGCCGCTGTTATGGCTGCCCTTGTGGCAGACAATGGCCAGGAGTTTGTACCAGGTTTGATCTAAAATCCCACCCAACGGAAGCCGCTCGGGAAAGGAAACCTTGGCCGCGTTCTTGGACGAGGAGCTTCGATCGAAGATGGACCGGGACAGGTGGATGGCGATGACCTTGGGGAACGCCGTGATGCGCATATGCCGTGCGATCTTCCGTTTCGGGGCCTGCTCCGATGGTGGCAGCGTGACGCCTTCCAGCGGTCCCTCAGGGTCTGTCTCCAACGCCTCCCGGATCCGCGTGATCTCCCAGTCCAGATACTCCTGGTCACTCTTTGTGCGTGCTCGGGTTCGCTCCTGGGTTTTGAGCTCCACCGCATGCTGCAGGCAGCATCGGTCACACCGGAAGTCATCTATATACTCGGTCTTGAGCAGGCCGTCAAAGCATGAGTTGAGCGTCGCGGAGCTCTTTTGTGGCACTTGAAGCGTCAGATTGACAAAGGCCGTTTGGTTCGGTTTGTACTGGTAGTGGCAGAACTGGCATTCAATCTGCGATTCCAGCTTGCCCTCGAACGGGAATCCGGGATCTTGATCGATCTCCTTCAACTTGGTGTCAATGATCGCAGGCAGTCCATTGGCAGACCCGTCATCAATGCGCACCTCCACCTCGGCCGGACTGTCCTGAGCCTCCACCGCATCTGAACTTGCAGGCGGGTCGACCGGATCAAGCACCCGTTGCCGTGCCCGCGCACCAGCATGATACTCATCGCAGAGCCTCTCCAAGACAATCTGCAAGAACTCCTGCGCATCCTGCTGGTTGCGATTGATGCGCGTCCGGAACGCATACTCCAGCGATTGAATGAACGCTCGCGCAGTGATAGTCTTCTTGTAGATCGGGCGCTCATTCAACCGGTCCAGCATGTCCTTGAGTGCACGCGTAACGCTTCCCTGTTGTAGGTCCCGCAATTTATCCGGCCGCTGACCGCGCTCAAGTTCGTCTCGACTCGGTAGAGACTGGTAGATTTCGGGTCCGTCGAGCTCGCGCCGGTGCAGCTCTCGGATTAAATAGACCCGAAGATCCCCCAGACCGGCCAGGGCCTGCAGCACGGAATTTATGAAGCAGTCATTGGCCAGATTTGACAGACCCACGATGCTCTTTTTGCGGTTGTTGCTGCTGGACTCGTCTCCATCGATCGTATAGTTGGGGCTGAACACGTAGAACAGCGCGATTGCGGCTAGTGAGGCCCCCGCAGCGTAAGCGGCGACCGCGCCCGGTCTTTCCTGCATTGGGATCGCGGTGTGGGAGAAAGGGGTAGAGAGGGGAGAGGGGTGTTAAGCCTGCGGTCTCATTGCCCCATCGTCGAGAGGTCGGTCGTGGGGTGGTGGCGAAGAACGCGCTGAAAGTGTTTGTCCGTAGAGGGAACAATGGTCCGGTTAAAGTGACAACCACTGTCCTTCGAGAAACGCTGTGGCGAAGGTGCAATGGGGGATCCGGGGTTGAAGAAGCGGGTGTTTGATTTCTTGTGGGGGAAGAGAGAACGGAGGAGACGGAAAGAGGGAAAAAGGCGGGAGAATGCCGAGTACCAGGTAGTCAAGTTTCTGGACTACGGAGCTCCGATCGCTGATCTCACTAGGCCCAACACTCCAATGCACGCATGCCATTCTGATGGTTATTATTGGCCTCCTCCTCCTCGGAATCTTCGGATCCCCGTTCTCCCCGCGTGGATGAGAGGTGCTGACGGCGGGGTCCGGGGAATTACTTATAAGAAGAGACAAGACAGATGGCCTCGATCGGTCGCGTGCTCTGGTCTTACAGTCGAGTGTCACAGCAGCTGGAACTACATACACCCCATTACAATAGAAATAGCAGGGTACTATATATATTGTCAATATGTATGAACCCGAGATACATGAACACGCAACTTTTTATATCGGATGCCATAATAATTCTATCAATGTGCCATCAATTCGCCCATGACTTTACGGCAGGGTAGCCACCTTCTCATTGAACAGGTCCTCGGCCTGCTTCCACACCCGCGCATTAGCCCGGTCGTTCAACTGAAGCAGACTTGGCAGCAGAGCCTCGCTGAACATCTCTGAGCTCTCCCGCGGGAGGAGAGACGGGAGGTGGTCAATGCTGATCACGCTGAGTGGCGGGCCCTGGGCGTTGGCGGGGAGGGTGACGGGGACAGTGGGCTTGTCGAAGGTGGTGGTGATATCGTAGATAGGGATGGGGTTGTTGGGGTTCGACGTGTCAGCGCTCACGTCGCAAACAACCGACAGGGTCCGATTCGGCGAGGACAGGCTCTCGACATTGACGAACGGAGGGATCTTGGCGGAGAGGTATATGCAGTTGATGAAGATATCCGCCTCCTCGATGATTTCCCGGAAGGGGCCACCCTTCGCGGTCTCTGCCATGTCCCACTGTGTGATGTTGGACTCGGGAATCCCGGCGTCCTTGGCCAGTTGCACGGCACCCTTGCCACAGCGTCCCAACTGTACGAGATATATCAGTATGTGACTCTCCTAGCACCCACTTGATAGACTTACGGCGCCAATCACAAGGACCTTGGGGAGGCGGCCCGCCTGCTTCTTGCCCGCCTCTAGCGACTCCTTGACCGACTGGACCAGAAGATCTTGGTTGGCATAGGGGACCTCGCCGGGCAGTGGCGTGCCATCGGGGTGAGTCAACTGCCACGCCCAGTTCTTGACCGCCAATGCAGAGCCTATCGGTCAACTTTTAGTATCGTGTATCCCAACGTCGCTCGGTCCGGGTTTTCTTACCTGCATAACCAGCCGAGTATCCAAAGGCTAGAAGGGAAGGCAGTTAGTCCAGCTAGTCTTGCGCCCTCGAGTCCATTCGCAATCCTTACCAGCCACTCTCCGTCCCTGATCATCAGTCAGGAACTCCAAGTCCAGCAGCGTGCCCTTGCCCCGCGGCCACCGGCTCAGCACCTTCTCCCAACCCCCCTGCTGCTTGTAGCAGTGGGCAAACGAGATGTGGACGTGCTCCAGAGGGAAATCATCTTCGGGCAGTTCCTTGAGACCGAGAATGTAGGCATCCTTGGGGGCATCGGTGACCCAGGACCCTTCCGCAACGAGAGGCGCACCGACCTATGATACGACGGATGTTGGTAAATGTGGACGTTGGATGTTTCATGAGAATGCATACCTTGGCGAATTCCTCGTCTGTATGTTGGTATGACTCATTAGCCCATTGCTCCATGCTCAATGTTCGATGCGCCGGTGTTCTCAGGTAGCGGAGGGAAAAGCTCACCGTCAAAGATACTTTGCGACGAGCGCTCGATGGTCACCTGGTATCCCGCATCGATCAAAGCCTTGCAGGTCGTAGGAGTCACTGGTCTGTGATTAGCAGGCAATTCCTCCAATTTGAATTGATCCGTTTCTTTTTGGCGGGCAAGTGACTCACAAGCAGACCGGGCCTCAGCAGGCTTGGTTTCGGCGCGCAGCCAGATCTTCTGTCCAGACATGATGGGAAGGAGGGAAGGGAGAGTAATAACAAATCCGTCAAGTATGAATCAAGGAACTAAATTTACCCTTGATCGCGAGTGACAGACTTGAACACAAGGGTGGATCAACCCTTGTTCCGCTCCGGGCGATCTGAGTCATCCGAGATCGGGGGCGCATTCGTGAACGCACTAGTTCACTTTAGAGTTGCTTCACAACTATAAAGTAGAAGATCGGTACAACCTTCCAGCCGCGATACTTGATACGATCTCTTGAATTGGAAAAATTGAGAATAATGGAATCTTATTCCATATTTGGCGGATTTTAATGTACAATCATAAACCACAACAGAACACAGTCCACTGCAATATCCACCCACCTACGCCGGAGCAATAATCTCCGTCTGCGCGAAATAGTTGTGCTCCTGGGGCTCTCCCACAATATTCACACGAATCTTCCACTCTATTGTGTGCTTATGCTGGATGTTGTAGGTTGTGAAATCGGGGTAGATTTGGGACAGGCCCTTCTTCCACGACGGATGGAGCCTCCGGTTTCCGGTTCGGAGGCCCTGTGAACCAAGTGTCAACTGGAACATATTGCCGACGTGGACCGGCTCATTTCCCTTTCCTGTCGTGATAATAAGCGGAGACTCCAATGCCGCGAAGGCGCGTTGCAGGTTCAGATCGGTCTTTTGCTCATACTTGTAGTCGCGTGGAGATTCCCGGACTTTGCTCAATGCAAGACCATGTGTCCGGCTGATGAGGATGGCTTGGATTTCCACGACCCGAATCCTTTGCGCGACATCTTTGATGCTGCCACTGGTTCCTGCGAGGTCAGGCACGACCTCGACTTGCAGGGGAATGGGGATTGGATTGTCTAGTTGAATAGCCGCCGGGACCGTGAGGTGGAGGGCGTAGTTAAAGCTCGGCAGTTTCGATGAATAGAAGAATTTCTGCACGTGCTGCTTGACCGACAACTCTGCATTTTCCATTCCGGGAAACAGTCGCTGGCTGGTGACACGCCTTAGAAAATTGCCCCTCAACGTCTTTGGCACGCTGAGCTGGCTGCTCTCCGCTGCTGGGTAACGGACCAAAATTGGGCAAACGGCTTCGTGAGAATGCGCAACCCCACCGAAGTTATATCGAAGACGAGCTCTGAGGTAGTACTCAACATAACAAGCCCACCAAGAACCATAAACTTGACCTTCAGAATGAAAGGATCCGGGCAAGGTGCGGTAACCTGGGTGGCCTGGGTTGTCCCGCGGAAAGAAACTGTTGTGGACTTTTCCGCGTGGAATAGGCTTAGGCTTGTATGGGATATCCACAGAGATGGGCCAGGTAAGCGGCGATTTGGCAAATAAATCACCGTCTTCAGCGGCCAGATGCAAAGGCCCCTGGAAGATGACGGATTCAGAGTTCAGAAGCTCCCAGCTGTCGCGATAAACATGCTTTGAGTTCCCAGCAGCATGAGTGATTTTCACTTTCACACGGCCTGTAAAGGAGAGCGTTATGACCGCCTCCGGTGTGACAATTTGCGTTTTGCGCACTAGGTTGCCGATGATGGTATCGCCGGGTGCATAGGTCCACCCCTCTGGCGCGGCGAGGTCGAACTTGAGGTAATAATTCCCAGCGGGTGCGTGATGAGGCATAATGACTTGATGCGAGTCAAGGATATCTATCGACCGAAATGTGTGCAAAATATACTGCTAGGCCAAAGCCCCAAAGGCAGGGGTTCGGCTCTAAACGATCATTTTCACAGTTGACAATATCTTTTAAATTCTGGGTCTTGTTAAAAATAACACCGATGATGAGAGCGCCCCATCTGAGGGGTCTTTTGGGGCCAAATCTGCACGGCCCCTGGAGCTGAGCGCTTGCACCACAAATTGACGAAAAGGGATAACTGCGATCATCCTATGTGCACAAGGACTATTTGAATTTTCAAATTAGCGTCACCAGTATACATCGTTTCACTAATATGAGATAAAACACAAGCATATGGTGTCAGCATCTTGTATTGCGGCCACCATCCTAATGAGGCAATGCAGCCCGACAGAATCAATACTAACTGGCACGGCCATTCCATGCAAATTCTGCCCTGGGTGCTCCCCATGAGGACCTCGTAAGTCATGGGTTATTCGTTTACACATCACGAGACTGATGAGATACCGTGTTGAGGTGGACATTATGAATTGAGGTAATTATATGAGAGCTGTATACAACTTGGTGACCAGCTGACGAGTTAAACGTTACCAGACTGGTTTTGAGTGCTCGGACACTCGATTCCTCAATACGAACATCACTTCTGACCGACCGAGTATCCAGAATGCCCGTCAAGTACGGTTGGTGCGGCTGCGAGTCCGGCTGCCAATCCCATCGCTTGGAATGGCCTTTTTCAGGGCATCCTTGATCTTTTCCTTCTTGGGCCGACTGGCTTTCTTGGGCTGCCCATGATTCCCGCCGCTCGTGGATGCTGCAGGCGCTGGTATGCCTGTCACGGATTGATCGGAGTCCGCTGTTTGGACCTTCGACTTTTTGACTTCGGGCTCTTCCGGCTTTTCCACTGGGGGGTTGTCCGTCCCTGATGACGTGATAGGGGATGCAGAACTTGACTCAAGAGCATGCTTCTCGCCCGTGTGTGCCTCTTCTTTCTTTGTCTCCGCTGCATCTGGAGTCTTGGTAGTCGTGGGAGTACTAGCCTCTCTGCTAGGCTCGAGTGCTCCGGCGGGAGGTGTTGCAATGCCTGGGATAGACCCAGGAGGCTGTGTCATGGGGAGCGTGGAATCCCCCACCTCAACAGGCTTAGGGCTCGTTGGATGTTTGACGATTGTCGCACCATCATTGGGTTTGTCGGCAGGTAGGGGACCACTGTCTGTCTGGGTGGTGTCCAATGGCCCATTAAGCGAGTGGGAATGCTCGCTGCGCACCTGGGAGGTTTCTGCGATTCACTTCATCAGCGGTGCGAGCGATTCAGAGGGCAACTCAACATACCGGACGCCAGGAAAGGCGGTTGCACGCGACTGGATTCGGCCATGGCGGGGATGATGATGTCAGAAAGAGATGAGAACGTGTCTCATGGGTAGATGAGTCGCAGAGTGAAGATTATGGTTGCAGCTGTATGTGGAAGCGAGAAGCTGGGCTGGAGGCAAGAGGCGAGGTCGGCGTGGAGTACGGTGGGCAGGCGCGACCGCTGACCTCGTTGGCCTCATCTGCGGATTCCCCGTCGTACAAGAACCCCCTAGGACAGCCACACCCATGAAAACCTCGATCCCTTTTGGTTGCTTCTGAGCGGTGGTTACCAATGACATCAGACACTCGGGCTGGAGTATGTAAGCATCCCACTATAACTATGGGTGGAGCCGAGAGTCAGTCATGTCAAACTCATGCCCAGGCGGTTTAGAAGAGATGTCTGCTCAGGCGAAGTGTGGTATTGGGGACCATCGGAGGGTTCTGAAATCATCTTGTCCGGGAGGAATGATTGAAGGTTTTGTGCCACGAATGTCGCATCTTTAATCTTCTCTCGATCAATCAAGACTTGAACGGCCTTGAAGCCGGTATCCAGAAACGCTACACGCCGAGAATTTCTCCAGAACGGGGTTTTGTTGTAATCCAGACTTTGCACATAGCGGATGAACGGCTGCGGATCTGGTTGTGTAGGATGACCGAGTGCCATTCGCGCCGATAACAGGGAACCAGGCGTCAGGGTGGAAATGGCATCCTGAAATTCGTCGTAGATGAATGCAGGGATTTTTTCTGCCGAGGCCGCCTGCTGCTCAGCGATTTGGCCCAGGTGAGCGCCACTGCTGATCAGGGTTTTTCTCGTGATGGGATCGGAAACAGAAGAGTGCATCTGGCACACTTGCACGTAGTATCTTAGGGCCGAGCTCAATCCGTGTCCATACAGTCTCTCTGCTTTCATCCAGTGTAGGAGAAGGAAATTAAAAGCCTGGTGCGCGGCCTCTGGCTTGATGGAGCCATGGCCGCCGCCCAAGTCCTGCACCAGGAGCATTCTCAGCCATTCCATGATGGTCCCATGAAGCCCCTCAACAACCATGAATTTGGTCAACGGTGAGGTACAGTTTCCGGTCCGGAGAAGCACCTTCTTATCTTGCACGGACGACGCCGAAAACCAGTCCACCACTTTCGAGCCCGCCCGAGATGTCTTCATGGCCGATTTCACATCCTCGGTGACTCTGGTTTCGGCGCCTCCATGAGCGAGACGAAGCTGCGACTCCAAGCATTGGCAAATGTCCTCGACGGTGACTAGACCAAAAGCAACCAGCTCGTCGAACACTACCATCGGTTGCTCGGCTAGGCGTCTCTGCTGGGTCTCGCGGATCCCTGTGGGCTGCGACGGCACAATTCGAAAGAGGGGGTTTTCGAGGATATTTCGAAGATGCTGGCTGGTCGCGTGGGCCGATGACTCGGCATTATTCGGAGGGGTTTGATCGTCGCGCGTGGAATCCGACGCTGGGTATGCCCGATCGAGTTGACGACGAAATGAGGATGTGAGGGCGTTGAGCAGCTGTTGGGACTCGCGCGGCGTGCGAGGCAGTGGCTGGTGGATCTTGGGCCACCCCTTGAACTGGAACACGGAGGTCCCTCTCATGATGATGATGAGTCGGTGAGAGCCAGCAGCGGTGACTGATGATGCATCGAATCCGAGTCGGGGACGATCTGCCCGCGGGCGGTGAGGGAAGGGACAAAGATTTGGCACTGAGGCGCACAAGGGAGGTTTGGGGTCCGTGGAGGGGATAGTGAAGCGTGCTGGCAGGCAGTGATGGAGTAATGGATCACGGTAGTTCGTTGAGATGAAAGCAGAGCAGAGTTCCTAGTTCAACCCCCCGTCCATCAGTACCGTGATGTAGGGAGGCTGCACCCAATAGGCGCCACTCGCTAAGAACGGGCAGGAGCGCCAAGGGAAGAGCAACACAGCTTGCCGTTCCCTTTCTCTCTCTCTTCCTTCTTCCCTTCCCTTCCCTCTCCCCCCAACTTCAACAATCCCATCCATTCTCCCAACCATCTTTTTTTCTTTACTTTTTTCCTTGCCTGTGTTCTGGCTTCGATTTTGGCCCTTGTGCCTGTGGTCCCGGTGCTAATCCTCTGTTGCGAGGGTGCATCGAACTCCTGCCTCTCCACCAATCTGAAATTCCCGCCTTCAAACCCTGTCCTCCCTTCCATCCAACATCATCGCGACCAGATCCTGATCGCTTGATTCCTCCCTCACACCTTCCAATTTTTACACCATGTCTGAAGTACAGAGTCGACCCTCCGCCTCGCGTGGGAGGGTATCCGCCCGCGGTGGTCGCGGTGGTTTCAGCTCCAGAGGTGGCCGTGGTGGCAGCAGCAGATCCGCAACCGCTGACAGCTCAGACGCCCCATTCGAAGAAGGAGAGATCGGTCAAATGAAGAAGAAATACTCGGATACTCTGCCCATGCTCAAGGAGCTATTCCCTGACTGGAAGGACGAAGATCTCGTCTTCGCATTGGAGGACTCAAACGGCGAGCTCGAAGAAGCGATCGAGCGCATTACCGAAGGTCGAGTCCCCTTACTCTCGCGCGACACCCCATTGCTCAACTCCAAGGATTTCCGCTGACTCGCTCACAGGTAATGTATCGCAGTGGGGAGAAGTCAAGAAGAAGACCACAGACCGGGCTCGTCCCAAGGCCAAAGAGGTCCAGAGCACCCCGACCGAGACGACTGCCGCTTCCGCCCGTGGAGGTCGCGGTCGCGGCGGTCTCGAGGCCCGTGGTGGACGCGGCGCACGCGGAGACCGTGGTCGTGGTGGTCGCGGCGGCCGGGCAGGAGCTCATACGAACGGGACTCGTACGGAAAAGCCGGTTGCTACACTGGCCAGTGCTGCAGAGCCCGCAGCGCCCGTCGCAACCGAAAACGCCCCTACAATGGCATGGGAAGAACCCGAAGTGGAACCGGTAACTGCAGAGACGGAACCCAAGAGCAGCGTGATCCCCGAGGGCACAAAGAAGGGATGGGCTAGTCTGTTCGCCAAGCCTGCACCTGCTCCGCCGCAAAAGAAGCCTCCAACCGCAGCGCCTGCCCAGCAGAAGCAGGCGCCTGAACCGGTGCCCGTGCCCGTTGCCGCCGCTGAGAAGACCCCCGTTGCGAAGTCCTCCCAAGTTGCTGCCGCCGCCGTTCCGACGACAAGCGTGCAGCCTCCCGTTGATGACTTGACGGAGACAAACCTCGGGCAAATTCCTGATGCATCCGCTCCCGCGCCGACTGCGACTGCAGCCAGCACAATCGGTAGCGGCATTGATCCTGCTCTGGTCGCGTCGGGTGCTACTCCTTCCCGGGTGTCGTCATCTGGCTACCCGCCCAGTGCATTCAAACAGAGTGGTCGTGTGCCTGGCTTCCAGCGTCGCGTGATGGAGCAGCAGCAGGCTGTGGTCATGCCTGGCAACCATGCCGTGGACCGTGCCGCGGTGCAGTTCGGTAGCATGGGACTCAACGGTGATGCGGTCGATATTGATGACAACCGCGAACAGGCCGAGACCCGCGCCCAGCCTCCGCAGCACTCGCCCGTCGCTCCGCGCGCTGCTCTCCCTCCTTCGACCCAGGTACCTGGAGAGGCTGCAGGAGCTGCGCGTCCTGCCCCCGGCCTTCCTCCAGTGCCCCAGGCCTCTGGCGAGGCCGCTTTTGCCGACTTTTCTCGCTACTCCGAACCCCAGAAGCCCTTCGATCCCTTCAGCCAGCAGGTGAGCCAGCCCCAGCCACAAATTCAAGAACCCTTCGCCAACCAGGCCCCCGTTCAGCCGACTGCCACCACGGGCAGCGAGTATTCTCCTTTCTATGCTGCCGACCAGCAGCGTTTCCCTTACAACTACTATGGCAGCTACGGCCAGTCCCAGGATGCCAGCGTTGGCCCTCGTGCCGCTCCTGGATTCGGTGCTTCCGGCGCCGAAGCTCAACCGGGAGTCCCTACCACGCAGCCTCCTAGTCGGTACGGCCCCGTGGATGCGACCAACAGCGGTCACAACACCCCGAACCCGACCTTGCCTGCCACCACACAGACTCCGACTGCCCAGCACATGCCGGGCCAGACTGGTGCCCACGCTTACGGCTACGGCTACCCTTACTACTCCAACCCTCACTATGCTTCGTATATGAACCAGATGACGCAGCATCAGCAGCAGCAGTATGGCCGGAGCCGTCCGATGTATGATGATGCTCGTCGGTATGACGAACAACAGCAGCAACACTACATGCAGCAACACAACACGCAGTACGGCTATGGCAGCCAGTACGGTCCGTACGGCGGCAAGGGAGGTATGTACGGCCAGCCGCATGGCGGCTTCTCATACGATCAGTCGTCTTCCCCCGCGAATGCCGGCAGCTTCAACCAGTCCGTGCCTGGTCGCGACTCGGTCTACGGCCGGACCGGCTCCGCGCAGCCGTCTGATAGTCAGCCGTCTGCGTCGGGTGCCAATGCATTCGGTTCCGGCATGTCTGATGTCTTTGGACGCGCCCAGTCGGGTTTTGGTCAGAACCCGCCTATCGCTCAGCAGCCCCCGGTGACTTCGGAGGAGACCAAGGGCTTTGAGGCTCCCAAGGCTGGTGGCCCTAGCCCCTCTCTTGCCCAGGCCAACCGCCCCGGCTCTGCAACCAACAGCGTCCCTGGACAGCCGCAAGCGCAGACCAGCCTGCCCCCGCTGCAGGGCCAGCAGGGCCAGCAAGCCTTCGGCAGCTATCCCCACCTGAACCCCCAGTACGGCGGACTCGGCGGACTCGGCGCCCAGGGCGGTGCGGCGGCCACGCAGAGCCACCACCAGGCCTCTGGCTACGGCAACTATGGCGCCGGATTCGGGAACTACTACGGCGGCAACTCTGGCCGCGGTGGCTGGGGCGGCAACTACGGCCACTAAACAAAACTTTGTTTACTTCCCTCCGACCAAACACATATGGCGTTGCATTTGCGGGTGATTTGAAAGGGCGGGGTTCCTTCTGTCACCAACCGGACAGACAGAACCCGAGAAAAAGAATTTCTCTTCATCTTTCTTTCCTCAACATCTGTGTAATCTCTACTCTCTTCTGGGAAATTGGCTGGGTTTTGCCTTTGGGAAACTATCTCTGTGTCTGTTCTTGTTCGCTTGCCATGTTGCTTTCATTATTGCTCCTACTGCTCCCCCGCTGATGCGGTCTGTATTAAATCCACCCATTCTCTCTCGCTAGGTTCCTCGCTACCTAGCTCGGCCACGGTGTCAAAATTCGGGATTGTGTCATTTGCCGCGAAAGACGGGTTGTTTTTGTTTTGTCCTTTACTTCCTTTCTCTCTTTGTGTTTCTTTTTTTATTTTTATTTTTTTTCCCTGTCCTCTTTTCCCCCAACATGTGCAGTATCGATCGATGATGATGACGATGTATGGTTTGCTGAGTCTGGTAGAGAGGGTTGATTTCTGCCCGAAACGCTTACCAAGTGTGCTGGGTTTGCCAAAAGTGTGATGAGTTATTGGCTTCTTCGGCTTTCCTTGTAAATCCTCTCGTATCTACAGTTGTAAGCTGTCTTTGTAGAATCATCCCTGACGCGTGCCCAATTACCAGATTGGGCTAGCGGGTGATGCCAATGATATAATCAGCTTAAGTATGTATGCCCTGCACTCGACCCGTTTCGAACTAGGTCAGGACTTGATAAATGCGAAGTAACATAAGAGGCTCCAATTTGCGTTCTACAGAACCATGAACCAAAGACTCGTCCAAGTTGGCTACAATGGAGGAGATATATCTCTCTGATGAGAAGAGCTATTAGCTGAATAGATACAATGTACATCAAGGCTAGTAGAAAATACCCGACGAAACACCCCCAGCAACACCGATTGCCACTAGACGTAATAAACGATGGCATATGATTGATTAGATGCGCAAGTCAAGCTGCTCGGGTTCCACTGGCAGAGAAGAAGTACGCCAGGAGGCCAGGCCTCTCCCGAGACTTAATAAACTATATACATACAAAATGTGCAAGTTCACACACGCGGTACAAGACATAAAACAAAAAAAAGGCAATTCTATTGGTTCGTGGACCGGTCAGGTTGAGTGACCGAAAAGTGACAAGTCTTCCTGTCGATCATCTCTAAGCCAGAGAGCGTAAGTGAAAGTTGGTTTCCATGAAACGGAGGAGCTTCGCTCTCACTCCGTGATGCCGAGACCTTCGCCACCGACTTTATGGTAGGGTGGGCGGGCACCCTCAGCCTTTTTGGCATCGAAGCGCCAGATACCACCGGTCTTCTCACTATCGAGAGTGAGATCTATAGAGCGAGCCAGGCGCAGGAACTCGGGATCATCGTCTTCCTCCTCGGTGTGAGTGAAGAAACGGCGCTCCCACTCGCGGCCCTCGGACTTTTCGATGCGGCGCAGCTCGCGCTGGCCATTCTCAATGCGCGACTTGGCAATCGACACGGCATCCATGTCGCCCTTTTGGATCCCGGCTGCCACATCGCTCCACGCACGGCGGCTCTCGTACAGGTCTTGCACCTCTAGCGGGGCCACGGTAAGCGGGGTGGTCGTGGACTCCTTGATGGAAAACTTGTCGATAACATCCTTGGTGCGGGCGTCCTTGATGGTGAACGAGTCGGACCACTGGCCGTCGACAGTGTACAGCGGCTTCTTCTCGCCCTCGCTCTCCTTGAACAGGCTTGCGGTGAAAGTGTTCTTCTTGCCGCTCAGCCATCCCTTGCCCGAGTAGTCGATTTTCGCGACGTAGCCAGTGCTGCTGACAATCTTTGTTGTCTTTTCCAGCTCCACGAATGGGGTGCCGTAGACCAACGATTCGATGTGCAGGCTCGGGAGCGTGATCACGTACTTCTCTTTCTCGTCGGATCCAGGTGGGGTGAGAGTGAGGAAGGCGTGTCCAATCTGCTTGACTTGGATCGTGGTGGAGAAAGATGCCTTCTGCGCGTTGTATCCTTGCAACTGCATTTGTCAGGGGCTCGTCAGTGGCCGTCATTTAAACAGATATCCCGGGAATACACTCACCTCAACCCCATGTTTCTCATTGCGGATCGCATATGCCGTGGCTGGGGGATGATGGCTGTTGACACACACCAATGAGTACTTCCTCTTGATGATGGCGAGGGCTGCCTACCTGACTTGCTCACTGATCAAGGAGGTCTCGCCCACGTCCTCACCGCCATCCCACTTGCCGATAAACAATTCACCCAGGAAGGGGTTCAGTGGCTTCTTCTCGCTCCCGAGCTTCTCGCTACGGCTGCAGTATTGTTGGTGCAGGGTGCTGAGGAACCACTTGAGGACCAGCAGTGCCCGCTTTGCGGGATCCGACTCCTTGGCCGGGGCGATGAAAACACCGGGGTGTTCGGCCCAGTAAGCGGAGTACTCGGTGAGTGAGGTAGAGGAGAGGATGAAAGGCGGAGCGGTCAACGAGGAGAGGTCTCCGTTGAAGGAGGCGATGGACTAGACAGTCGTCAGTGATTATTCCGCCAGTCCAACCATGGCGGGGTGGCTGGTTGGTTGCCTACCTTGAGAAAGCTGGTCCACGAGCCCTTACTGTGGGCGGGCACGCCAGCGCCAGCTTCTTTTTTGGACATTTTCTGTTATCTGCTGTTAGGATTCCACGCAGGTTGTGGAGAAAGAGAGTGACTGAGTGTATAGTTGGTTGGTTGATGGTGGTGGTGGGGAAGAGAAGACGAGTTTGTTGGCGGTCAAAGGGAATAACGTCATCGGCGTCAAGGCAACGATCATTTACTTTTAACGCCTATTGTTGCAGCAATAACGAATGCATGGACAACATTCCCATACTGGAGCCAAACAGGGTCCCTTTTGGTAACCATTCACAGTACCTGATCATGTCTCAGACTGGGCTACTTGTCTGTCTGCTCGATGGTGGACCGGCCCTGACCATGTGTGGGCGCATTTGTGCCCCCAGGCCTGGAGTCCTGGGCGCCATCATTGACGCCTGTCAGAATATGCATGCTCTGAATGGATACTGATACTCACTCACAGAAGTAGTATGTCTCTGTTCTTCTGACATACACTCCACAGGTCAACTTTTAGCCCTAAATGCGCGGAAAAACGGCTCCAATGGGCCCGGATTCTTTTCCGAGTCCCTAGTTCCCATTCGGCTGTGGCAACGCTCCCCTACGCTGTTCATTGGACCTGGTTGCGCCTAAATCGGGGCACGATGGACCCTAATAGACGGTAACAGGTTCTCCGGCTGGACGAGACATTTCTCCGAACGCTGAGATTTCGCTGCACTGCGAGCCCCCGCTGCCGATCCTCGGTAAAAGATAGCGGACGCCGACGACAGTCTTTTCTTTTCTCGTGACTCACTTTATTCTTGTTCAATGCCATTCAATTGTCATTTAAGCATCGAGGTCAGCCTCGGGATTGCATTTTAGTGAGCGCGGAAGACCTCGAGTATGAATTTGAAGAAACACCAATCCTGAAACATTGTCTCTATTTTTTTTTCTTGCATGGCCTCGCAACCATGTCGTCTGTGCATTCAATTTCCAGCATCGAGGAAGGGTCATCAAATGGCGAAGAAGTACAAACCAGGAGATCTCGATCTCAATCTCAGCCAGGACTAGAGGCAACAAACAGCCTCCATTTGGTGCAGAGCCATGTCTCCCATCATGACATGGCCGTGAATGAGGAATTCCACGAGGTCGACGCTGAACAGTACCTGCGCTTCTCACCAACGCGCAAGATTCTCATTGTCCTTGTTCTGTCAATTTGCTCTTTCCTAGCACCCATCTCGTCCACCTCGATTTTATCAGGCGTTCCTGAGGTCGCAAAGACCTACAACACTACCGGCAGCATTATCAACGCCAGTAACGCATTATAGTATGTGTGAAATTAAACTCATCTCCATAATTACTGACTTTCCTTTGCAGTCTCGCGTTTATGGGCGTTAGCGCACCATTCTGGGGGCCTTTCTCACAAGTGTATGGCCGTCGGCCGGTGAGCAGCACAATTTCACCTCAATCTTCAAAATTCTGACTGCTGGACCAGATCTTCCTAGCGAGCTCGTTTCTGTTCTTTGCTTTCAGCATTGGCACCGCTCTGGCACCCAATCTGCCGGCCTACTACATCTTCCGCGTCCTGACTGCGTTCCAGGGGACATCATTTCTGGTAGTGGGCAGCTCTGCCATCGGCGATATCTACGAGCCACGAGCTAGAGCCACGGCCCTAGGGTGGTTCCTATCGGGGACGCTCATTGGGCCAGCCTTCGGCCCATTCCTTGGTGTTCGTATATCCTTCAAGCTCTTGGTCCCCCGCTCTTTCTGACCGGTGATACACAGGGCGTGATCGTCACCTTCTGCTCGTGGCGTGTAGTCTTCTGGCTCCAAACAGCCCTCGGTGGCTGCGGGTTTCTACTGGTCTTTTTCCTCTTCCCTGAGACATACCCGCACTTGGATAAAGGTGAAATAGCCGACCAGACCACCGCCCAGAAAGCGAAAATCCTCTTCCACCGCGTCTCACCTCTTCGCGTGGGTATTCTTCTCTTCTCATATCCGAACCTCTTCTTCGCTGGACTGGGCGCCGGCGCACTTGTGTGGAACCAATACTCTCTTCTCACGCCCATCCGATATGTGCTCAACCCACGATTCCACCTGACTAGCCCGATTCAGTCGGGTTTGTTCTACATTGCACCCGGATGTGGATATCTAGCGGGGACGTTTATGGGAGGCAGGTGGGCGGACCACATCGTGAAGAAATGGATCAGGAAGCGAGGCGGCATACGCGTCCCCGAGGATCGACTTAAGTCGTGTCTTGTCTTCATCGGCCTGGTAATCCCCGGTTGCATTCTGATCTACGGATGGACGGTTGAAAAGGCCGTCGGTGGGATCCCTGTCCCAGTACTTGCCATGTTCGTTCAAGGTGTTGCTCAGCTGTTCTGTTTCCCCAGTCTCAACACGTATTGTCTGGATGTCATGCAGTCCACGGGCCGTAGCGCCGAGGTCGTTGCTGGCAACTACATGTTCCGCTACGTCTTTGCCGCGCTCGGTTCAGGCATCGTCCTGCCGGCCATCGAGGCTATTGGTGTCGGCTGGTTTAGTACCATTAGCGCCCTGTTTCTGATCTTGTCCGGCGCCTGCGTCTGGATGATCACCATCTTTGGTGATGAGTGGCGCGAGCGGATTGACGCCAGGAGAGAGCGCAAGGCAGAGAAACAGGCTGGCGAGGAGCCCGCCCAGCAGGAGACGGAAAAGAAGGTTGATGTTTGAGGCTGCCCTTCTGCCAATTTTTGAAAAGACTGATTCGGTTGGATATTATAATCTTGGAATGCGTACCGACCACCAAAAACGTGTATATAAATTAGAATTAACGATACCTCAAACTGATCTGCTAGACGCGCTCGCCTATGCACTCGCACTGCCATTCTCAGCATGCCCATTGCCCGCCACCACTCCTATCTCAGTTGGTGGTGGAACTTGTCCCTTCACAAGGGCATCATGACTGAAACCCGTCTCCGCTACAACGCGGTCTAACTTTCGCGCCTCTGTATACCGCCTGGCATCTTCGCGGCCCTTCTCGACATTCACAAACCAGATGACAATTGTGGCCCCGGCGCAGATGGAAAACAGGAATGGGAATCCCATCCAATTATTGTTGGTGTTGTTTATGATGGCTTGGATGACGTTGGGACCGATGATAGAAGACTGGAGGCGTCAGTAAGAAACATATGATAGTCACAGAAAGAACAAACTGACAGCGCGGTTGGTAATGCCAAAGAGGGCGAAGAACATGTTGTCGTAACCTCGGGGCATTAGCTCGCTGATCATTGTTTGTGCGTACTGTTGAGCTAGTCATTAGTTGTGTTGTTGGAAAGAATGGACAAGTAGAGTTTACCGCGTAGTACGGGGCTTGGAAGAGCCCGAAAACGACGTTGTAGAAATAGAACTCCCACTAGGAAGAGTAAGCGGCTGAGATAACTCTGGTTGTTCCATAATACATACCCGATTATGATATCCGACTTTGTTAGTCCACAGTCCCAGCATACCCCAGAAGGGAATGAAGACACTGAAGAAATTGGTCACCAGGAACATAGTTTTGGTTTTAAGCTTAAAGTATTTCTGGATGTACCAAAAACCGAAGGTTGAGGCAGTCGAGCAAACAGCTTGCGTGATTCCGAGGTAGGTGAGCTGCAGAAACGAGAAAGAGATGTAATCATTTTGAATGATGCTGACGAGTGTTCCTGACAAACGACTTGAGCAAATTTACATCGAATTGAAAGATCGGTTATCTTACCTGTGGTATTGAGGCCATCTGCAAGTAGAAAATAGGCGATAAAATAGAGATATGTCTGGGGGAGAGACCTCATTTCCCGGATAGCTAGCCAGATCTGCTTGAAGCCGATGGTTGCGTAATTTGAGCCCTTTGGGATCTTGGGACCGGGTCTCCTTTGCTGGAAGATGAACCACCAGATGCCGAGGACCACCCAATCTAGAAAAGAGTCAGCTGGAAGCAATGTAAAAGGGTAAAGGGACGAACATGAATTGGTCAGGCACAGGGCCAGATTGTTGGCGTATTGGTCATTTTGAAGGGGGAGTAGGACACTCAGATTGAGCACCAGGGTGAGCAGGTATCCAATATCGCTGTGTGCAGTTGAGATGTTGCTGTAGATAGTTAGAAATAGAAACCGTATAGAGCAGTGAGTGTATTACCTGATATGATTTCTCTCCAGCGATTCGATTGCGTCGTACTCTTCCTGGTCAATTTTTCCTTCTCTCAGATCTTCCTCACGTGCCTTGCGCACATGCGGCATATACCTGGCTAAACGAGGGAACACTGCAGCATAAAACACGAGTGTTGCGCCGTACGATACTGCAAAAGTTAGCGCTGTTGTCAATCATGCGTCCCTCTGCGAAGCTCCCGTCGCCCGGGCGGCTCATGGGCCCGGTGAGCGACCGATCAACATACTGTATGCAACGACATACATTCCCATAGCTGCAGGCCACTGGGAAGGGCGCTTGATAGCCATCATTCCGTACTGGAGGGCCCAACACACCACGGTGAGGGCTAGAAGAAGCCATCGGCCAAATCTGGTCATTGGCACGACGGAAGGTTAGTGTTTGTATTTTCGTTGATGGAGTCTTGCGTATACTTACGAGCCGTAGTCGGCAGCGCTTCCTAGCCAAACGAAAATCACCGTCATGAAAACAAAGCAGAGGCCGTTGGCGATCAGGACCACCGAGGAAATCGCTCTCGTGCCCCCGGCCCAGGGAACCACGCAAGCCGAGGTGTTAGTGCAGGGTTTGGGCGGATTCGTATCAGGCTGGAATCCAGATTCGGTCAGAGCCCACTGGAAGCTGATAGAGATGTTAGTCTTGGTCCATTTGCTTTGGGTATCGGCTACCTACAGGGCCTGGCTGTAAGATCCCGGGCCGACGCCATTGTCCCCTGAGTACCAACACAGCCCGATGTCAGCACTATCCACAACCTCGACATTTCATGAGACCTTACCATTATAGTAGAGATAATATGCCCACAGCTCTCGGCGCGTGGTGGTCGGCTGCTCATAGGCATCTTCGTCGACCCCGAAAAGCCGCTCATACTCCTCGACAGCTGGGCGGTTCTGCGTCACATCGACGGCCACTCCGTTTTTCGATACATTGCTCCTTCGCCGAGTAGGTTCAGGGTCGTCCTGGATGTCGGCCATGATTGAACCGAAAGACAAAGAAAACGAGATTAAGAAGACACTCGATTTTTACACCAAACCGTACCCCGCATTCCTGGGATTCGCTTCCTTTGCTTATCGGGAACTAGGTCGCCATGAACGGCCTAGTGACAGTCCGGTCCGAGTCTAAGTTGTTTAGCAATGGGACGTTGCATCTGCTCCACCGGTGGAGCTGCCACGACGGGCCTGGGCTGAGGATGGCAACATCCCCTTATCATCAAACACCACCTTCCCGGCAATCAGGATTGAGTAGACAGCATGGCGGCAATAGACCTCCAGAAGCAAGTCGGCCAGGTATGTTGCTTGTCCGACTTCATTGCGGCAGACCCACCCACTCACTGATGGCTGTTTAGTTATTCGCGGTCGGATTCCATGGCTTCACCGTCAGCCCGGAGATCAAGACCCTAATCCGTGATTACCACATCGGAGGTATTGTGGTCTTCGCGCGGAACATCCAAGATGCCGCACAGCTTCAGGTAATGCCACAACTTCGCTGGCAATCCACTCTTTGAATGCCGTCACTAATTTACCCGCAGGCCTTGACACTAGATTTACAGAAAGTGGCGCGGGAGGCCGGCCACAAGCAACCTCTGTTTATCGGTATTGACCAGGAGAATGGACTGGTGACCCGGATCTCTCCTCCGATCGCAGCCCAGGTTCCAGGTCCGATGGCGCTCGGTGCCACCCATGATCCGCACTTCGCCTACGAGGCTGGCAAAGTCACGGGTGAAACTCTGAGCTTTTACGGGCTGAACATGAACTATGCGCCCGTCTGCGATATTAATTCGGAGCCCTTAAACCCCGTCATTGGAGTGCGCAGCCCTGGCGATGACCCAGACCTCGTGGGAAGATTTGCCTGCGCGGCTGCGCAGGGCCTGCGAGAGCAGAAGGTTGTTCCTAGTGTCAAACATTTTCCTGGCCATGGAGACACGGCGGTGGATTCTCACTATGGTCTGCCGGTTATTCCCAAGTCAAGGGATCAGCTAGAACGATGCGAGCTCATTCCGTTCCGACGGGCTGTGGCTGAACAGGTCGAAACTGTTATGACCGCCCATATTTCTTTGCCAAAGATTGATGACAAGCTCCCTGCTACGCTTTCTCCGGAGGCATTGGGGATCCTGCGAAAGGATATGGCTTATGATGGTATGGTGATCACTGACTGCTTGGAAATGGACGGAATCCGGGCTACGATCGGTTCGGAAAAGGGCTCGGTGCTCGCGATGAAGGCTGGCAGTGACAGTATCATGTTGTGTCACACGTTTGAGGTGCAAGTTGGTTCTATCAAGAAAGTCTGCGAGGCAGTGCAGTCTGGAGAGATTACAGCTTCGCGTTTATCGGATGCCTGTCGTCGTGTCGCAGCTGTGAAGGACAAATTCCTGGACTGGGATACCGCACTGCGACAGCATGACCTGGAAGAGCTCAGTGCGCTCAACAGCAAGATATCTGCTGTTTCCCAGGAAGCGTATGAGCGCTCGGTGACGCTCGTCCGCGACGATGCTGCCGCTCTGCCTCTATCGAAAACATCGAGAATCGTGTGTCTCTTTCCAGGAGCTGGGACTCCAATTGGAGGTGCTGTGGATGGAGAAGGCCTAGGAAGGCAAGGTGACTATGACGCCACTCCATATCTCAATGCTCTTCGACTTCACAATCCAACCGTTGTTGAAATCCAGTATGGCGAAACAGGCCTGTCCGCAGAGCAATGGAAGCTCGTTGAGGCTGCAGATTCGGTCATTTTCACCTCGATGAATGCCAGAGAATCGCCATACCAAGAGAGACTAGGCCATGAACTTCCTCGGCATGTCCGCTCCCTGGTGGCGATCGCTCTTTGCAACCCGTATGATTTCCTTGGATTTTCGGACGTGAAGACATACATCGCCACCTATGAGCCAACTCTTGAAGCATTCTCCGTGGCTGCAGGTATCATGTTCGGAACTCTTGCGCCAAAAGGTTCCCTCCCCGTGGGACCAAAGGCGTCGCCTCAGCCTGCGGCAAAATTGGCCCGGTTTGATGCCGAAAAGGATCTGGACGCGATGGTCGATGTTTGGACAGCGGCACTTCCAACTTACGCTCTGCCTTCCGACAGTTTACGCTCCCTCATAGCCCAGCCTAATGCTCACCACCATCTAGCTCGCGTTGGCGATGAACTGGCAGGGTTCTGTCTTGCATACACCAACTACCACGGTGACCCAAATACCGCTTACATCGCCGCTGTTGCAGTACATCCCAAATACCAGCACCGGGGAATTGGCACGGTCTTGCTGGCCGAGATCCGCGCTTATTTCCGAGCTCAGTTTGGCTTCAACCGTCTGAAGCTGAGCAGCTCGTTCCCTCGATTCTGGCCCGGAGTTCCTCGAGATCTTCCAGAGTCTACTCAGAAATTTTTCATTCACCGTGGCTTCCGACTCAGTCCACCTGTGGCGCGGTCCGTCGATCTGTACCAGGATATCCGGAACTTCCAAGCACCCGAGAAGTATGTGACTCGTGCGAAAGAAGGTGGCTTCTACTTTGCACCGCTTCAGGCAGAGGACTATGAAGCGTGTCTGGCTGGACAGCGGAAGAACTTCTCGGACAAGGCGGTACGTACTCCAATGCTTTTTCGAAATTTTATGCCAGCTAATCGTGATCCAGGGCTGGGTGGAAATGTACGTCAAACTACACCCAAGCGAGCACCCTTCGAGCGTGATGACCGCGTTCGACTCCCAAGGTCAACAGGTCGGATGGACACTGATGCTTGGGCCGTCCGACGTGCTGAACAAGGTCTGGGCATTCCCGCAGATCTGCGGGCCTCAGACCGGCCTCATCGGTTGTGTGGGCGTCGACGCTGCCCATCGCAAGTCAGGTATTGGGCTGGCGCTGCTTTGCCATGCCATTGAGGATATGAAGAAACGAGGTATTGAGGGTGTCTTTGTGGATTGGGTTGCTCTGGACGGGTGGTACGAGAAGGTTGGGTTTGAGGTCTGGCGCAGCTACCGGCCTGGTGAGATATGAGCTTTTCTGGGAAGGCAGTGTTTTGGTACATTATTATAGTGCATAGATTAGACGGTAATTGTCTCATACTTTTAGCGGTTTATCGGTAGTCCGCATCAATAGAACCATAGCTTTGTATGCTTGGAGTTGCGATGTAGATAACATTCTGCTGAGCTAAAACTACTCGTCGCAAGTTATCTCAATGGCTGAGCCCAGTTCGTTAGCGCCCTTGTGTGCTTCGTTACTTATTTGGCTATTCCTGCTCAGTACACATGCAAGTCCAGAAACAATCAACAATATGTTCCTTCAACACTATGTTGATAACAAATACACATCCAGCACAGTCCGCCTAATGCTTATCCGAGTTCGTCATCGCATCGATCTTGGCCCGAGCGGTCTGGAAAAACTGCGCTTTCTCCTCATAAGTCTTGGTAGACGGCGGCACATCCACGCCCTTCTTCACTGCAGCGCGCGCTCCGATGTTCTCAGCCCACTTCTTGAGCGCAGGCCACTCACTCAAATCAATTTCGAGCAGGAGTGGCGCGGACTGGACCCATCCGTAGTTCGCAATGTCGGCAATGGTGTACTTGGATCCAGCCAAGTAAGGGCTTTCCTGCAGCCGGGATTCCAGAACCGAGTAGAGACGCTTCGTCTCGTTCATATATCGATTGATGCCGTAATCGGAGCGGGCACCGGCCATGACGCGGAAGTGGTTTGCCTGGCCTTGCATAGGCCCAAGACCTCCCATTTGGAACATTAGCCACGACAGCTGCTCAACGTACTCCGGCGTGCCGGGCGCATAGCTGATCTTGCGGTTGGTGTCGTATTTATCGGCCAGGTAGAGCATAATCGCGCCGCTCTCGAACACGCGCTGCGAACCGTCCATGATGGCAGGGATGCGGCCGTTCGGATTAATCTTCAAAAACCACTCTGACTTTTGAATATTGGTGCTGATGTCAATCGGCTCGGTCTTGTAGGGAAGACCCAGCTCCTCCAGGGTAATGGAGGCCTTGATGCCATTAGGGGTGGGCCAGGTGTAGAGGGTGATGTCGGAAGCCATGGTGGAAAAGGAAGATGTCGCGGGGAAGTTGACAGTTGAGGATAGTCGGGAGAGTCGAGTTGCAGCCTTGAAAGATTCAGCGCTGAGGAGAGTGCGGGAGAGCATGAAGGGCAGGAACCTTGGAAATGTTGTCCTACTTTAGATAGATCACAGTTGATGTTGCTTACCATTTGTCAGCTCCGGATCGATGACGTGAGCTCCTTCCTTTCCGAGTCTCAACTCTGGCGATCTAGAACTTGACGCTTATCAAGATCAAAAGGCTGCAGTGTAACGTTCGCGCTTTGATTGCTTTCATCCAGCGGACTGATTCAAGCAAGGGAATCAGCCAAAGGTTATTATCTTGCAGTAACTATACAAGCGTATCTATATCCCAAGGCCGAGATCAACATTCAACCCTTCCATTATTATTATACTGCAACGCTATATATATCCTACTCCAGTGATCCTAGAAGCTCAATACAAGAAATCCTAAGCTATAATAGATCTTGGTTCAACAATCTTATCATCGCCCTCGTATGTCTTTCTAAGAATGGCCACACCGCCTTTTTCCCGTACACAAGGCTCTCGCGACCTTTTGCCTCCTCATCATCCAACCACACTCACCACAGAACCCACTCCTTCATGTCGCAATGGGCTCCAAGACACCCGAGCACGAAAGCCACACCGGTGGTGGTAGGTATCCGTCACTCAGGCCCTTGAGCCGTATACTGACTTCCAGCAGATGAATCGTCAAACCCACTCAAGTCCAATGCCGCGGGTGGAGAGCCGCGCGGAGCTCATCTGTCCCGGGATGGCGATGGCAGCGTCGGAGATGACGGCGGCGACGATGACAGCGACGACGACAATACGGCCGGCGCTACCGCCGTGACGCTGACGTCGCCTTCGAGAGACGCCTCGAAGAAAAAGAAGCGAAAGAAGTCCAAGAAGAAGAAGAAGAACCACTCGCAGTCATCGC